GGGTCTGCTCCAGGTCCCGCCCCGCGCGGAGGAGATCACCATCCCAGCGGACGTCACTCCGGAGAAGGTGCCCACGCACATCGTGGACTCCTCAGGTAGGCCGGCCGCGGGCGCGCATGGGTGCGGGGTGCGGGTGCGGGGTGCAGGCGCGCGGTGTGCATGGGGTCTCCGTTTCCTGCAGAGGTGGAGCAGACGGCAGAGGAGCTGCAGGACGAGATCCTCAAGGTGCGTGTGCCCCTGGCCGCTTCCCCGGGGCCGGCGACGGCACGGTGGCCTCCAGCCCCCCTCTGGATCGGAACTCAGGGTCCTCCAGCGCATGTGCCCGGCGCCCTGCCCCGCACCCAGCCGTCTGGTGCCAGAGGCCAGCGCGCACAGCCTCTGCTGGCCCTGGCGCAGGGCGGCCCACAGTGGGCGGGCAGCCGCCCTCGCCGGCACGTGCCTGCCGGGGTGCAGGACGCAGCAAGGCGCGTGTTGGGCGCGGCCTGGCGCTGCTGCTCACGGCCTCGCATCCCCAGGCCAACGTGGTGTGCGTGGTGTACGACGTGTCCCAGGAGGCCACCATCGAGAAGGCGAGTGGCGCCCGGGCTCCGCCCCCAGCACCAGTGGGGTCCCTGCCTCGGCCCAACCCCCGCCCCGCGGCCTCCCACCTTGGGCCAGGCCTGGCCTGGTGCTGGGGGCTGGGGCCGCCCCTCGCTCACGCCGGCCGGCTTTCAGATCCGGACGAAGTGGATCCCGCTGGTGAACGGGAGCGCCGAGAGGAGGCCCAGGTGAGGGGTAGGGCCCGGGGGCCGGACCCGCAGCCCCCCCACCCTTAGCCACAGCTTCTGCCCACAGGGTCCCCATCATCCTGGTGGGGAACAAGTCAGACCTGCGGACGGGCAGCTCCATGGAGGCCGTGCTGCCCATCATGAGCCAGTTCCCTGAGATCGAGACCTGCGTGGAGGTGGGCTGGACGGGCCGGGGGCGGGCCGGGGGCAGGCAGGCGTGTCCGCGGACCCTCCCCCAGCGGCCTGTGCCCCCCAGTGCTCGGCCAAGCTGCTGAGGAACATCTCCGAGCTGTTCTACTACGCGCAGAAGGCGGTGCTGCACCCCACGGCCCCGCTCTACGACCCCGAGGCCAAGCAGGTGGGTAGCGGTGGGGCTGGC